GTGCATATCTAATAATAATAATAATAATAATAATAATAATAATAATAATAATAATAATAATAAATCTCTTGATGGAATGAGTTCTGTTTATAATGAGCCGGTGAAGCTTGGGTGGATTAGCTTTTAGTCGGGGGGGGGGTGGTGGTGGCGGTTTGAAGGTGTGCTTTGAGTTGTATTTGTAAGGTAAATTTGGAGGAAAATTGTTTTACCATTATGTTTCAAATTATCTTTATTGTCGTTATGGTCATTTACAAACATTAAAAACTTATTCAGAGCACCCCTTTTATAAAGCAATATTCAAATTAATTATTTCGAATTTGTAAACGTAAAATCTAAGAATATTACTACATTTTCATGTTTTGTGAAATCAGGTATTTATATTTTTTAATCATCATTGGAACGATCTAAATCTAAATATAAATTTATAATAAATAGGGCGTTTTTCCAACGGATACAAGGCATTAATTATTTTGCAGAGAAAAAAAAACATACTTTCGTATCTTCATCATTAGGCTATATTTAATGCAATATATTATGGCCTTAACGGCCCCAACAAGACATGTTTCGGCAATCTACTACCATCGTCAGTTATCTATTGCACGCAGGCAATCATTAGTATAGGGGAGTAAAAATTCAATGTTTTGCAGGATAAGAAATTGTGGAATAAACCATAACAATACTACAAAACAAAATATAAATAAAGATGAGGTAAATTCAGAGTGCCACAAATTGGAGAATCTAATGATTTTAGAATGACAAAAAATAATTAACATGACGAAGCTGTTTGTTCAGTGAGGGCTGTTCCCGATGAATATGCAAGGATTCTTTGATTTTTAAAATTTGTAAAAGCGGATATTTAAAATTGTAGACGTGAAGTCTAGCATATTGAAACAATGACGTGAATTCTGAATAAAACAATTAAAAATATTTATATAAAATGATTGCATGTAAAAAAAAAGATGCACAGAATTTAAATTAATATTCACAATGATTACACGTCAAAAGGCTCCTAAATAAACTGTCACTTGTGTCAAAGTAAATGAAATTAATATTAAAATAATGCTTTCTTTCGAATTAATCCTCAAAAAATGACTGGAACAAACAGGCATTATTTTAGAGGAAATCTAATTAATATTCATCACACTGGCACCTTATTGGGTAACTGCTTTCTCTCTATGTGGGATGTCAACCGTTCAATGTTGTATTGTGGCTTTTTGTGTAGTTAATGCATTATTCCAAATTATCTGTGGTGTCTATAGATAATGTGCATTTTTAATAAATATTTTATTTAGAGTAATATCTTTTGACTTTCTAGTAAATTTAGAAAGTATAAAGTAAAAAACAGCAGCACTTTTGAGACTAACAATATATAATTTATTCTCTAGCTTTCGTCCACACAGTGGACTTCATCAGGAGACCGTACAAATGGTGTAAAGAATTGCCGTAAAACACTGAACAAATGATGCAGGAAACTCCGTTAAATTTCTATGACGTTTATTACGATAAAGTATCCGATGGTAACCTTTATCATTTATCGTAACATCTCATTCAATTCTGTAATCAAATAACCATTAAACACATTAGAAACTTCTTGAAAACATTATTATGAACCATTCAATACAATAAGCCTTACATAATACGGTTAGCCTGCAATAAATGAAGACTTACTACTTTGCCGTGTTTCCTACAAACAGGTTAGCATACTGTGTGATCAGTCAATTACCAGTCAACATCCGATCACCTCCTGAACAGGTTAGCCTAAACAAGGAACATCAACCTTAAACAATATCTCAATAAACTATACTATATGAATCCAACATTACCAACAAGCGTTAGAACTATAATTACAACAATCATCTTATAGCAGCCTGAGTACCAATACTGATTAGGACTAAATCAACTTCAATAGTATAACGCATATTGTATAACTATAAATCCAATCAATCGTGAAGACTGATATCTGACGTGATTCTTCCATTGACACATGTCATTTAGTCATACAATATTAGTTATTGTTAAACATCGCCATGTACATTCACACATACTACTAGCAGTATTATAATAACAATACGGTCAGAGTCTAATACCACCACTCTACTGTATCAATCTGGGTTAGGCCTAATCGACATAACCTCATAATTATGATCCTGGTCAGAGCCTAATCGCACGTTTCCCGTTCATAGTGTAGTAGGCCTAGTAATACCTACACACAACGCACATCGGCCTCACCGTGCATGACAGTAATACCTAGCTAGGTCTAGGCCTATAATGGAGAGATGCTCCCACCTCTTGTTATTCTAAACCAATCATCATCACTGCTCTACAAATTAATTATTCTTATAAACTTACATTTAATCCGTTGGTTAGGATTCTAACCAATAACTTTAGAAACGGTCGAATAATGTACCGTTTGCTCCTGTCATTACACATACACAATCCTCATAGCAACACGATCATTAGCGTGGTTCTGACAACTGGGCATTTCGCTGTGTGCCACCTATTTTCACTTACAAAACTTTACAGAAACGCAAACGTTTCTACAAATGGGATCAATTTAACTAAAGCTTATAACAAAAAATGGCATAAATTGCAGAAGAAAAATGTTAACTGCTCGGTTCTCCAGCACTTTGAATCTCCTAAAGTTAGGGGCTCTGTGAAACATTTATTTTTCTTCATTGACATGAGATACAAAAACAATATACAATATCATTAAAAAAAAAAGATAAATTTAGAATGAAAACATGCAATGAAAGGCGGCTCAGTCCCGAAAAGAGAAGTCTTGAGTTGGGCAAGCCTGAAAAAATATAAAAATAAAAAACTCGTTGGACAATAATAACTGAATTAATAAATTCTAAAAAAGTAACAAAAAACATTCAAAATATATATATATATATATATCAAACGAATAATATAAATTTTTAAAATGCAAATCAAAAAGAAAACGTAAAAATGTAAATTAAAATAAATAGATAGATTTAGGACACATCGGGAAACGACCGATAAACGTCCTCGTAGCCGAAGAGTTGGTCGTAAGATTAGGAGGCGTATTTGCATAATAGCGTCTGTTATTGTACTTGAGGTTTACTTTTAACGTCCAGATAATGAGGCTAGAAATCGTACACTTGTCCCTATTCAACTGAATCATTTATTAGCCCGAAGCCACAAGATAACAGTACTATTAATACTATACTAAGTTTCCAGCTTCCCAATATGTTTCCTAATAATGGACTTTCTATTATTTACTGAGTGGATGAATTGAAAATGTTGATAGATCATAACAAAATTGACATTGCTGTAATTACAGAAACTTGGCAAACCAACAATATCACAAATGACTTTCTTTGCATTGAGGGTTATGAAATTTTTAACTATCAGGGTAAGTAGAAAAAAGAGGAGGAATCGCTATTTATGTGAATCCTCTCTTATGTTTTTCCTGATATTTTTGTTCCTGATGATCTTGAATGCCTATGGATTTGGGCACAGCCAACTCGCTAACCACGTTCAATTTCTGGCTTAATTGGTTTCACTCTCTATATTGCACCAAACACTCCACATAAAGAGATTCTTGTTAATCATCGTATTCAGGGCATATATATGCTAAAACAGAAATACTACGATACTGGTGTTATACTTAGCGATTTCAACTGGACTAATATCAACCAAATAAGAAAGTATAATACATACTCAAAGTATTGAAATACACGCCATCGTGTTTGGATTCAATATTTCGACATTAATTATGTCATCATCAGGAATGAAAAATTATCCATATTACCAAGTTTATATGCACTAGTACCAAAAGTGTTTAACCAATCAAAACATTACCTCTAGTAGGTGACATAGCAGTGATTTAAACAAAAGATCAAAACATTCTTACTCTAATGATCAAAGATACCTACAAAAACAAAGAAATCTCTTTTGAAGCTCTAAGCCCATTGTTAAGCAAAGGGTGTAGTCTACGTATAGCGAACGCTTCTTTAAACAATAGGAGAGACCAGTTTCGGGAGCTGTCAATAATGCTAGTACTAGAAAATATTAAACCTAATTTATTACTTACATTTCAGACGACATTATCATTTTCAAGTATACCCTGTAATCCTAAAACAAATTGGAATGCCTCAGTAATTTTGAATGGAGTAATTGTAAAATAAAAAATATATATTTTGAAATAAATTCATTTGGATCGAAATATTATTAGTATGAAATTGTTTATTTGTGTTGATAAAAAAAAATAGTACTCACGGTACGTTTCTCGAACTGTCCGTTCGCTTTCTCAAGTAGACTGGTGGTGTTATTGCTAGTCTGGTCTGTTAATGGATTGTCCGAACGGATAAAGAAAACACTAGCTACACACAAATTAATACGTACTTCATTCCACAATAAAAGATTAGACAAGAACTTGTCTACTCTAAAGACAAAATACAGAAAGAGGAAACATATGGCTGCATTTACCAAGCATCATGCTTAAATTACAGAAAAGTATATACTGGTAAAACAGGAAGATCACTCAAAATCAGAATTCAGGAACATCAACATAATGTTCAAAAGAACACAGTAGGAATCCGAACGAGATTAGCAAGGTTGTCCGATTCTAAAATAGTAAATAAATCTGCAATCACTGACCATGCCACATAACTAAAACATAGTCCAAATTGGGACATAAAAATATTACAAAAAGAAAGCTCATGGTTTGAACGAAAAGTCAGAAAATATATATGGAACAGAAAAACACTAGACGTAGAGTAGGTTTTAACCCCAAACGAGATTCATGAGGATAAGGACGATAAGGACTTGAGATATATATATATATAAAAACCAAAAAAAAATAAAAAAATAAATAAAAAATAAAAATAAAAATAAAAAATAAAGAAAACATTGACGAGGAACCTTACAAATATGCATTAACGGTTATCCATGTAGGTTATAAAGCGGCCAAGGAACTCTGTAAAGAATCTCCTAGTATATGTTTTAAGAAAATTGGTGGCGCTATTGAGTAGTGCTATTTTATGGCGCTATATTTCCTGTTAGCGCGTTAGTAGCGGCATGTTTGTGAAGAAGAGTGTACATTCACTTCTGTTACTCATGATAAATTTGCAAATGTTGCATATTTGGGGTATGTTATTTTTATGTATTTGATTATTATTAGTTTAAGAAAACATTTTAGACATTTTAGAACATTATTGTTAATTTTTACTTATGTCAGTGCGAAACCTCAGTGAAAATGTACATGTTATAATCTAAGCCTCCACTGACCATTGTGTACGAAGGCGTGATAAGGTTACATGTTAATGCTTTGTGCGTAGCCCAGCGGCCTTCGGTGTGTTATAAACCGACCTTTGTGTCATATTGCAAATCACTTGATACAGTAATAATTTCAAGGTTTTACCCCATTGGTATATGTAACAATTATGTTCCTAAGATTACAGTATGGTATATACATGCAATATGTTGAATTTAATTCATTAAATATTACTGTTAATTATGGAATATTTTATTGATCAATTTGATTACGGTACCTTTTGCAGTTAAATAGCAGTTAATGGTAAAATCCTAATACAACTGAACATTGATTCTATAGCATGGTGTAGTAAAGTAATTGTATTAAGTAATTTATATTGTGTTAACTATACTTGTTTTTCAGTCAACTTTGTAAATTTACGAAGTAGTCAAAGTTGTTGACTTACGAAAATTGAAGACTTGAGTGCGAGTTTGTTGCGCCAAAATTCATGTAAGGCTTGTTTTAAATAATGATTAAATAGTTCATTCATATACTCTGACTGTAGATAAAGTGTATTTCGATTTACAATTTATCAGATTCATAATTATCACTTTGCTACCAATCTATATCATACCTTATTATTGTACTGATCTAGACTGTTATCAGTCTACTATGTTGTATTGAAAGTTGACATGTTATTACGATTTAAACGTAGAAGTCAAGTGATCATCACTGATTTTGTATTCTGTATTTCTTTAGTCACCAGACTATTTACATCTTGCGTTGGCAGTTTTGAATAAAGTTTCAAAGTTACTGCATTGAAGTGTATTGGTTTGCGTTGTTGTGTTGGTGCCCTCATCGTTAGTAAACTCGACAAGTCAGTCAATTTACAAACTCCAATTTAGGGATGCAAAAACAGCTGCTAAAGCTTTCGATAACATTTACGAAAAAACACTCTTGAACATTCCCAAAGATTTTCAGGTGGATGAGGAAAAAGAATTTAAAGGTGAGACCAAGAAGCTTATGGAAGAAAATAATGTATTTATATAAATAGCGGAAAAGGACGTACACAGGACTCAGGGGGTTGTTGAGGAGTTGAACACGACGTTGGTTGAAATACTATACAAGGACCAGCAGAAAAATAAGTTTTTACCGGAAGGTGAATTGGTTAGAGAGTGGAGGAAAAATCTACCTTTAATAGTGGATACATTAAATCACAAAGAGGCTGAATTGATATCTAATAACAAATGTAATACCTTAACTCCAAGCGAAGCTATTAAGCTAGACAAGGTGCATCAGAAGCCTTCTTCAGCCTATCTCAGACCTGTAGGTTACCATGAACCCGTTCTGGATAAAATAAATGCTGTAGTGAGATATTTGTATTTACCATGCGAACATTATAAGGATACCAGAAAAAGAGCTGCCGATCCAATATGGTCCGTAAACACTCACGAAACAAAAGACGTCTAGATTAAAAAAGGCCTGTAATTTATCATTTAATGCAAAGACCTAGATCTTTCGTCAGTGAAAAATTTCTTTTAATATCCCTAACTCTGAATTACCCCCGGAAAAAACAGTTTATGTATTTAATTTATATATTAAAAAACAAATGAAATAAGGTTACACAAACGTCTGAGATGTGAAAATAATAATATTAAGGTCAATGTAGAAAACCGAACCGTTTGTTAAAATTTGTTTACGATTGACAACCAGAAAAGTAAGGAAGAAAACGGTTAAAAGATTTCCTTGTACGAGATGTTTATGTACTTTCCCTAAGGTAAATAGTTTAATTAAGCAGATGGTTAAGAAGATGGTTATGACTAATTAAGATATAAAAGATATGAGAATTCCAATAAATATATGTTGGGTGTGTGCTGGAAAATTTGATGATCGGAAAGATATTAAGGTTCGAGATCACAATCATTATACAGGTGATTTTAGAGGTGTTGTTCATCAGTCCTGCAACTTGAAAAATCAAAAACCAAAATTTACTCCTATATACTTTCACAATCTATTCGGTTACGACATCCATCATTTTATCACAGATCTATCTACTCGTGATGGATATATTAACATCATCCCTCAAAATGAAGAAAAATACATTTCGCTTTCTTTAAGATATGTAATTAATAGTGTAGCAGTACTACCATCTGTAAATTTGTATATAGGATCTGTGTGTAAATAATACTTCGCATTTTTAACTAATATCCCAACTTCATGGGTTATACAACAAGCTTAGGAAGATCATTTACCTTAAGGTCATTTGCCTTAATTCAAGTGACCACAAATCATTTGGGAATGTTGATGAGATTCCCAGGTACTAGACAAGGACCGGCAATTACTAATCCTTATTGGTCAGATGGTGTGAAAGGTGATGCTATATCACATACATTTGTACTTTTTTACAGACACTCCTCAGTTTGTCCTCCCTGGGTACACATTACTTTCGCTTTCTATCAATTTGTATATATCATCAACTTGTTTCTCAAGTGTTTTTGTAAATACGCTTTTCACTTGGAATAAATTGTACAGTTCTACATATAAATTAATGTGGTGTATTTTTATCATCTCATCGAACACTTACACTAAAGTGGTGACCTCCGACGTTTCAATACACACTCTTTACATCAAGTTAATAATGGAAGGACAACAGCAACAAGTTCAACAACAACAACAACCTGTCGTATATGCTTCAGATGCTGCACCGCCTGCAATATCTTCAGTTTCTCTGAAACTTCCACCCTACTGGCCCAATGATCCAACTTAATGGTTGGGGCACAGTTTACAACCAGGCATATCACGGTGGACGCTACGAAGTACGCGTATTTGGTGGGCTCCTTGCAACCGGAGATAGCCCAAGAAGTGCGCGATCTCCTACTTCACCCGCCACAGGACAATAGGTACGTACAATTAAAGGAGGCATTAATAAAACGGACATCTGACGCCGATCAAAAGCGTCTCCGACAACTTTTGACAGCGGAGGAGTTAGGAGATCGCAAACCCTCCCAATTATATCGCAGGATGTTGCAACTGCTCGGCGACCGAACCCTTGAACCAACAATTATAAAGCAATTGTTCTTAAGTCGTCTTCCAGCCAATGTTCAGTTAATTTTGGCTTCTGCAACAGATGAGATAGATATGCCAGGCCTAACTACACTTGCCGACAAAATATTGAAGGTATCTGCAACCTCCCCAATATCTTTGCCACCGCCGACTGTTTCTTCCGTCCACCCAGAGGACCTGCCTTCACAATCTGCCACAATTCACACACTTCAATTGCAGATTCAACAATTGACCCAAACATTTTAATCTTCGCAAGCGGATCAACGATCTCTACCCAGAATCGGAAGCTGCAATCGCAGTCGATCATATGTTCGCAATCGCTCTTCATCGCGCAATCGCTCTTTACGATCAGCCGATAATAAGACCCCATCACCTCGTTGGTACCATTTGAAATTTGGTGATAATGCATGCAAATGTCTTCCACCGTGTTCGGGAAACGCCAACGCCAACAACTAAAAGCGACGAACGTTGCTTGCCATCCTGTAAGTCGCCTTTTCTTTATCACGAACAAGTTTTCTAACCAACGCTTCCTCATCGACACTGAGGCAGAAGTTAGCGTTGTTCCACCAACTCGACATGAACGTAAAAACAGGCGACATGATTATAACTTAAACGCGGCTAACAATTCATTGATTGCAACATACGGACACCGTTCAATTACTCTTGATCTGGGATTACGTCGCAAGTCTTCATGGATTTTTGTGATTGCAGATGTGTCGCACCCCATTATAGGCGCCGATTTTCTACGACATTTTGTACTCCTTGACGACATGACTCACCATCGACTAGTGGACACAACAACCAATTTAAGTATTCAGGGTATACTTTCGAAATGCCCACCACTCAAACTTATGTTCAACACAGTCGTGGGTAAGTCCAACTTTGATAACATTCTTCCAGAGTTTCCTTCAATAACACGCCCATGTTATCAGGAGGCTTCTCTGAAACATGATGTAACACACCACTTTACAACCAACGGCCCTCCAATATCTGCAACAACCCCGTCGCCTTGCGCCCGACCGTTGCAAGATCGCACAGTATGAATTTGAACATATGATGCAGCTTGGTATAATCCGCCCCTCTGACAGTAACTGGTCGTCATCCCTGTACATGGTTGCAAAGAAAACCCCTGGAGATTGGCGTCCTTGTGGTGATTATCGTGCACTCAACAATGTCACTCTTCCTGATCGGTATCATATACCTTACATGCAAGATTTTAAATCCACATTACATGGTGCAACCATTTTCTCTAAAATTGATCTCGTCAAAGCATATCACCAAATCCCTGTCGAGCCCAGCGATGTACCAAAAACCGCTATAACTACCCCATTTGGTTTGTTTGAGTTCGTTCGCATGTCTGTTGGATTACGCAACGCCACACAAACTTTTCAACGATTTATCGATCAAGTGACACGTGGACTTGATTTTTGTTATGCATATATAGACGATTTGCTTGTTGCAAGCTCTAATGCCCAGAAACACGAACATAATTTGCGTCAATTGTTTACTCGCCTCAATGAATATGGTGTTGTTCTTAATCCAGCAAAATGCCAATTTGGAGTTTCATCATTGGAATTCTTAAGACACCATGTGGATGCCAAAGGTATCCGACCACTTTAAACAAAAGTTGACGCGATACAACAATTTCAACAACCAAAGACATTACGCAAACTCCGCGAATTTCTTGAACTTGTTAATTTTTACCGTCGATTTATACCTCAATGCGCTGAGATCTTACAACCTGTTACAGCATTACTTGTAGCAACTGGTAAGAAACAAGATCTCATTTGGACTGACGCAGCATTGACTGGATTCACAAACGTAAAAATCGCCCTTGCTAACGCTACACTTCTCACACACCCGAAGCTAGATGCACCCTTGTGTATTATGGTAGATGCTTCGGATATGGCTATAGGAGGTATTTTGCAGCAACGCATTGAAGACAATTGGTAACCGATCTCATTTTTACTCTCAAAAACTTAAACCAACAGAGACACGATACAGCACGTTTGGTCGTGAGCTTTTGGCAGTGTATCTCACAGTTAAAAATTTCCGTCATTCTTGAAGGACGCTCATTTCAAATCTTATCTGATCACAAGCCACTCGTTTACGCCTTTCGCGCTAAAGCTGATCGTCACTCTCCACGTGAAATTCGTCATCTAGACTTTATCTCCCAATTCACGACTGATTTACGTCATGTAAGCGGCAAAGATAATGCTGCAGCCGACGCACTGTCGAGCATCGAACTTAACTCTCTTGAGCACCATTCGTCTACAGTGGTTGATTTTGAACGCATTGCAGTGGCACAACAAACTGATGATGAACTGTGCAAACTACGTGAATCATCATCATCACTTAAACTCCGACCATTTCCAATTGCAACTTCAGACTCAACGATTCTTTGCGATGTTTCAATGGTTAATCCTCGCCCATATGTTCCATCAGACTTTCGTCCTACAATTTTTGACACTCTTCATTCGCTATCTCATCCTGGTATTCGAGCAACTCAACGTTTAATTACAGAGCGTTTTGTATGACCAAGTATAAACCGTGATGTACGCCGATGGTCTCAAACATGCATTCAGTGTCAGCGCTCCAAAGTACACTGACTCACAGTATCACCGTGTTCTACTTTTTCCACACCTGATGCTCGTTTTGACCATGTCGGACCTCTTCCACCCTCCAATGTTTATAGTTATTTACTGACTTTTATTGATCGTTTCACTCGTTGGCCGGGGGCTGTACCCATCTCTGACATAACAGAAGAAACTGCCGCACGCGTTTTTGTTGATCGCTGGATTTCTTCATTCGGGGTACCTTCCACAATAACCACGGACCGAGGTCGACAATTCGAATCTACATTATTTCAATCACTAACACGATTACTTGGAACCAAACAAATTCGTAAAACTGCATACCATCCGATGGCAAATGGACTTGTTGAACGATTTCATCGCCATTTGAAAGCCTCTCTCAAGGCATACACTGACCCTACAAACTGGATTGAACATTTACCCATTGTACTTCTAGGAATTCGCACCGCGCTTAAGGAAGATCTTTGACATTGTGCGGCAGAGCTTGTGTATGGTACTACATTACGATTACCAGGACATTTTTTTGATAAACATTCTGAACTTACTGATTATTCTAATTATGTGCATAGATTACGTGATTTAATGAGTAATTTTTATCCCACTCCAACCCACACCAATCCTAATCGTAAATCTTACATCAGTCAGGATTTACTAACTTGTACTCATGTGTTTGTTCGTAGAGATTCCGTTCGTAAACCATTACAACATCCTTACGATGGCCCCTTTAAAGTTTTACGAAGAGCCGAAAAAACACTTTGTTCTTGACATAAATGGTCGTCGAGACACTGTCAGCATTGTCAGCCTAAAAGTAGCCCATTTAGATACGGCTTGTTTCTCAAGTGTTTTTGTAAATACGCTTTTCACTTGGAATAAATTGTACAGTTCTACATATAAATTAGTGTGGTGTATTTTTATCATCTCATCGTACACTTACACTAAAATAGTTTTACCGATAAAGAAGATAAGGAAAAGAAAATTTAATACGAAATGAGATTTATAGATACACTTAGTTTCATACAGACATCTCTTGACAAACTAGTTGAACATTTAGTCAAGCGTAAGAAATGTTATACTTGTAATCCACCTAAATGTCTAGGAAGGAGTATAAGTAAAAATCGGAAAATTATCCCTCACAATATCACTAGAAACTACTGAATAAAGGTTGAATGAGACCAACAAGCAATTTAAGAAAGAAGATATGGAATTGTTGATGAAAAACGGTATTTATCCATACGACTACACGGTCGATTTTGAAAAAATTTAAAGATACCCAACTTCCTCCTAAAGAAGCTTTCTATTTTAAATTAAACACAAATGATATATCGCATGAAGACTACAAACACGCTTGTAAATTATGTAATCACTTTTGGATTAAAACCATGAAGAACACCACGATCCTGGAGAGAAGTAATATGAAAGGTATACAACAAGGGCCCTAAAACTGAACCTTGTGGTACAAGTCAAGGGCAATGCTTATATTGTAAGGATACAATTTGAAGGGTGACACAAATAATACCCGAACCATTCTAAAACAGTGCCTCAAATTCCAAACAACGATGATGAGCGGCAAAGAAGAAGATAATAGAAGTCCATGGTAAGTTACATAATGATATAGCTGAGATAAAACAATTCTTTCAAGAGTGTTTGAAAGAAAGAATAGTAATGTGTGATATTGGCCTGTATTTGGAAAAAAATGGCATTAAGACCAACTCTCTTTAAGACCTGGGTTACATTTTGATTTCTTATTGCATGGTGGAACAACTCCTGTGTTACGTGATGCATTGATTATTCATGTGAACTTTAATGATAAAGAAATACGATGTTTCTTGATAATCTTTTCAGAGAAGTTATCAAGACTACAATGTTTGGGGGTGGAATGAGCAGTTCTACGAAATTTTCAACATAAACTGGTTCAAATTATTGAAAAAATGGATAGATAAAGTATGCCAGAGGCTTACACATGACTGGGTATTTGGCTGATGGCACTTTCTAATTAAATCACCAATTCTAATAGAAGAAAAAAAAAAACGGTCAGCAACTTCTAAAATGTTATGTAGTGGAAGAGGGACTGGAGGATATGAAGGAGTAAAGTTATTGACCAACCTAAAAAGGACTTTATCAGGACAGTTCTCAAACATATCAATATATTTAGTTTTCGTTTAGAAATCCGACGACCGCACTCAGCCACGTATAGCTCTCTATCTACCTGAAGTCCACACTGGGTAAAATTTGTGTTCCAATTGGTATTTGACCTTCTACATGCTTCTAAGTTCGCCTGTAGAACAAGGACATGTTGGTCGTAAAATGAGTTGCTTGGTTGTGACAGGTGCATGTACATCCAGTATTTTGCGGAGAGAAGTAAAATATTTTTGTGAAATGAGTTAAATATCATTCTCAGGTGTTAGAATAAAAGATGTTTTGGCAATGTCCTCAGCGAAGGCATTGATGTAAATATTTCTTTGGACAAGGACAGATTGGGCATTATATTGCTGCATAATCTGATGGCAAGTTCCAGCATATCGACGGTAATTCGAGCAGACAATTCTCATTTTCAAAGGTGAGTATAAGATCAAGAATGTGTGACAGCTTATGAGTGGGGCTAGTCTCCAATTGTATGAGACTGAGAGATGCAATGTGATCCATAAACAATCTGGAATTTAGATCTTGATTTAGAATGCACATGCAGATTAAAGTCACACACAATAATTAGCTTTGTTGACGATAAAGAAAGACTTTCAATAAGGATACAAAAATGGTCTATAAATGGAAATGAGTCTTGGACTGAAGGAAGATGAAATCGTGAGATCAATATATTCAAATGATATGAAATCATTGGGTGAATTCTCATAAACCTTAAAGCCATATGTAAGGAGTATACCAACACCACCGCTACAATTCGATCGAAAACGATGATAAAAATCATAATTGTGGCAAAGACAAGCCAAACAAGTCACTCGTCGCAAATCGTGTTTCAGAGAAAATAGCCAAAACATGCAGGAATGTCAAGTTTTCAAAATCTATTTTATTTCACTAACAGAAAATGGGGAAAATAACATCATGCTATGCTGTTATTTTTCCCATTTTCAATTCCAAAACAACACTTTTTAAAGATTTCATGATAGCTTGTGCATGAGAAATGCCCAAATGATTGCTCAAATATTGTTTTTTTAAAACAGCTGTATGTTCAAACGCTTGTAAGTTCATAAAGAAGTGTTGGATTTGAATGATTGTTTAATTACTACTTTATAGCTCTTTAATCTTTAACGATATATTTGTCTTGTCTTTACCGTAATTTGAAAGAGCTTTCTGAAGAGCACGAATAGGACGATCATCTGTATTCATACTTGTCAACCAGGTTTCTGTGATAGCTATCAAGGCGATTTCCTTAACACAAACAAAGTCAGAAATATGAGCAGCTTTGTTCATAATAGACCTTGCATTCCATAACG